ATTATTACAGTTCTGATTCTGATGAGCTTCAGTATGGAATCCCACTACCACCACACACACGGACAAAATTAAAATAAAAGCTAGAGCTGCTTTGCTGCATTTTTTGGATCTCCAGCTGTTATATCGGATATATCATATTGTATCATCAGGTCCCTGATACATCAAATAAAGGGATTTTGGGGTGCAAGTTGGGCGGGTTGGGATGGGTTTATGGCCAACCCCGAGATCAAGTTCAAAATACATATATGTATGCAACTATGTATGTATATATGTAAATATATATATCTATATATGTATGTATAAATGTATATAATAGAATTAGGTTTGGGTTTGGACTACCTGAAGACAAAAATATATATATATATATATATATATATATATATATATATATTAAAATCAAGAAAATTTATGTGGGTTCCTAACACTAGATACGCATGTTTGTGCATATCAGTTATATGGGTACTTTGAATGTTGAACCAACAATAGTGAATCAAAGTTCTGGTAAAGGGTATTTATGCAGACGATACTCATGTAAAGGAACACATGGAGGGTCCCCAAGCCTAACAAAAGACTGTGATGATACAATGAGTGTTCAAATTAGGAGGGTTTCGCTAATATCTATAATTTTGTTTTCTTTAATAAAAACAATTGGCAAAACAGCTGCACGTTGCAGTTGTTTTTGTTTTTAAAGTCTTGATTCTTGAGCATCTACCAAGTTTATAAATCATGGGCCAAAAAAATTCAGACAACAACAGATATTACAAGTATACCATTAGATTAGAGAGAGAAAGATAAGCAATAAAGTAGTGAACCATATGTTAGTTGGTTTGTTTCAACATTAATGTGAAATTGATTTGTAAAACCACCAATCACTTCAGTCCATCATGATATGGATTCTCAATATACATTCCTTTCTCAAGACCAGAAAAGTGTGCGTGTATTGCATGTGATAATTCATATAATAATAATGATAATAAAATTAACAAGTCCAATATCCCTTTCAGAATACATGTACTAAGACAAGTAATCGAATTATGGTGTATTGGTGGATTTGTTGCCTTTCACTTATAACCTAATTTTGGATCTTCCTTTTGAGTTCTTTAAAAGATTAAAGGGGGTTTCACTGATGTGTCTGATTTTGTTCTCTAGGAAACTGCTACATTAACAAAATCATATTGTTTTTGCTGATGTGACAATTGTTTTTATTTTCAAAAACAAAACCAAGGACATTTGCTAACACATTAGGCCCTACTTGGGTTGGACAAGATTATGCAAATCCTCACCCAAATTCAACTTAATTGGATATGGAGTTTCTATAGGGGGGGTTTAAGGGATGTTTGTTTTTGTTTTTATTTGTTTACATCAGCAAAAAACAAAAACATGTTCTCGAGTTTTGTTTTCATTTTCATTTGTTTTTAGAATCATCACATCAACAAAATATTGTTTTTTCAAAACAAAAACAATTTTTCTAGTATAGAAATTATATGATTTATGGAACATGGTTTTGAATAATCAGATGAAAACATGTTTTGAAATTGAATAATCAGATTTAAGAGATGAGAGATCCATCATATGGATGGCCGAACCCTGCAAGAAGGTTGGGCGAAATTTCAAAAATTTCTCTCTCTCTCTCCCATCTGGGAATCGTATTCCCTATTTTAGAAAACTGTATTTTCAAGGATCAATCTTGAACCAAACCAGACCAGATCTGAAACCAAAAGGGAGGAGAGGGATATACCTGATACGAAGTAGCAATAACTCCCAATGAAGGTGTTCATGCCCAAGCAGATAACCAAAACCCGCTTCCACTAAAGATGATACAGTGTGTGGTGAAGCAGGATCAGTAGGACGACTTCAAATTGCTGGAGTAGATGGCTGGTGAGCACGACTTCAGATTGCTTCTTCTACCAAGAAGCAATATCAAGAACAATTCTTGATAACTCCCACAAGTGGAGATTGAACTAGGTAAGGGCGGCAAGAACAGGGAAGAACTCTACAGATTGCTGTCTTGTATTTGGTGTGTTTTTCATGTCAGCCCTGCTCTTTTATTTATAGCCTTAAAGAAACAACCTCCTAATCTGATTAGGAGTTTCCTGATCTAAATCTTTATTTGGATTGACTATTTAAGTGATAAGGATAATCCCTTATCTGTAGTTCAAGATCAACTTAAATCTAATCAAATTAGGAGTTTCCTGATCCAAATCTTTATTTGGATTTGGACTCTATAAGTGGATAAGACTTATCTACTTATCCTTATTTGCTGATCCAAACCCAGATCCGCCCCTATTTAATTAATCTAATTAACCCAGTTCGAAATTGGGTTTTAGGCCCATTAAGTTTATGTGCTCACTTAACCTCTTAACCTGCTGCCCAATTGGCTCTCTTTGTATGGCGTGGGACCCAAACATTGATCTACACATCAGCCACATGGGTTCAGCCCAACTTTTGTTACAAGGCCTGGCCGAATTCACTATAGAAGATAGTGAACCCCTGAGTCCATCACTATGGACTCTTAATGGGCCCAACATTTACACTAAATGGTCATTGGGTCCAGCCACCTTATGAAAACCCAAGGACTATGGGCAGATGTAAGATTAGCCTATTAGGTATCCCTCAATGGTCTTACACTTAACCTCTTAGCCCATAATGATCAAACACCGCCCGGCAAGAGAGGACCTTTCCCTCGGCTGCAAGGAATGGTGCTACACTCTCTACTCACATGGATCATGAGAATTAAAACCTTTTGCAAACATTTTGAAACCATAATATATATATATTATATATGTGTGTGTGTGTGTGTGTGTGTGTGTATGTATGTATGTATATCTCTATATAAATTTATTTTGCAAAACAAATTTCAACGGTTGAAATCAACTGCCAGCAGTTTAGGTTTCCATCAAAGAGAGTGCATCCCCGATCATTCACTTTGTCCGACAAAGGGGTTGATCCTGTCACTATGATCACCCACTCAGATGAATTCTCGGACTGTCCCAACATACCCAGGTTTTGACCCCCTCTAAGGATATCACTGATTGGCATATCAAAGATAGCCCGATCCGACACATAGTGTAGTACCATAATCAAGTCTAGGGCTCAAGTGTAACATTCCAGTTTTGCCCATCTATCTCCAAGGTTCAAGGTAATACTGAAATTTTGGTTCAATTCAGGGTTTCAAGAAAACCCACACTGCATGTACCTCAAGTCTCACCCTGGTAGTTGAGACAAGCCACCCCAACCAACTTGGTGGTACATCAGTGTCAGCCTTGGTAGGATAAATCTCCCCAGATCTATCCAACGACTGTGAAGATTCTAAACTAACACGAGTCTCATAAGTATCCAGTTTAAGGGTATTACAAAGAAACACACTACAATGATATGAATCAATTATATACTTTATTCATTTACAATAAATGTCAAAAGATATATCAATATGATTGGAGCTAAGGGCATAACTGTCTAACAATAGAAATTATATGATTTGTGGAACATGGTTTTGAATAATCAGATGAAAACATGTTTCGAAATTGGATTCAAGAAAATGTTATTGGTTTCAATTTTGAAGACAAAAAATACACATACAATCACTTTTTTAAAAACTAGACTGGACCAGACGATTTAACCATTTGACCTAGGAACCGGTCATGTTTCTGGGTCAGTTTTTAGACTGGAACACTTTTTTTTAAAGAAGCGTTGATTGGTCATAAAACTGCTAACTGGGACAATCAAACCATTAAACTGTTCAACCCAGGCAGCGGTTTATGATTTATTAACAGAGGAAAAAAAGAAGAAGATTCAGACATGAGGGAGGGATTGAAAATCTGAGACACGATCTCAGATTTGAGATCAACGGGATTTGAGAGAGAGAGAGAGAGAAAAGCAACAAAAGGTTGTTGTTGTTGTGGCTGGTAAAAGGTTGCCTCGCCTCCTCCTCTTCCTTTATTTTGTTCTTTTCTTTTCTTTCTTTATTTCCTTTCCTCCTTTTCCTTTCATTTTTTATTTCTTTCTTGTTTTCTCAACCCACAACCATCCTACCACTAGGTCTCTATTTTCTCATAAAAGAAAAGAAATAGAACTCTGAACCCTAATATTCCAAAAGTCAAATCACTTGAACCATTTGAACTGGATGGTCAAAACGATTTTTAGAACTTTGCATTGCTTTTTATGTTTTTGTTTTAGAAAACAATTTATTTTCAAATGAAATAGTTTGGATTTGTTTTTAGAACCCACTACAAGAAAAATAATTCCGTAACTCCTAAAGTTCAACCCCAAGTTGGCCTTTGTCGTTCATTTGAAGAACCCAATAATGAGACCCACTTAAATAAATTCTGCAACTTCTTTGCGGTAATTTGACGAATCTCCATGCTAGTAATGTTTTTAGAAGATTGAAATTTTAAAAGCTTTGAAGCATTACATTTGTATTCTCTGGTAAGACAATTAAGCAAAGTGTGTATTTGCATTTTTATAATTTTATTTGAAACATGAAAAGATTTTAACAGACTTAAAAAAATACTGAGGACGTTTTTAAGTATTTGTTGATGATAACATAGGGGGCTTAACTTAAGTAATTTTCCCTTCTACCGTTGGTTGGGCTTGTTGACAAATTCACAAAAGGGAGGGAAGTGAAACCCTTCTTTCTGGGAGAAAATACAAAAAACTTCTCCTATAATTTCTGACAATCATTAAAACCTCCCCTTCGTTTTGAAATAAATCTTTTTTGAGTAATGGAGACCGGAATTTATTAAATTGCCCTTACTACTACTTGTTAGGACCTCTTTTCGCATAATGTAAACTTATTTTATTCTCTGCAATTGATAGTTGTATAAAGGTAAATTAGGTATTTTAAAAATTAACTGTAGTTTTTTTAAAACTACAGGAGGCCCTTCTTTTCAACTTTCCAAGTTACGAGTTATACCCAATCAGAACGTTCCACGTCATACCCACTCCACCTGTAAGAGTCTCATTGGCTCTGCTCGTCTTCCAAACGTGGCATCCTGCAAACAGACGAACTCCTCTCTCACGCTCTCTTGACTCCGAAACGCAGAAATGAAAAACGAAGCAAATCAACCGGAAGAAGCTTAAAATTTTAAAGAAGAGAGCAGAGCAGAGCAGATCGCATTGCTTGAAGATCCAGATAGAAAGCTCTCCGCTTGTCCGAGAAAACGCCGACGCCGAGATTGGAAGCGTCTCCGGAGCTTCGCTCTGGATAGTACCGATCGAACCGTGGCTTCTTCAGGGCCGCAGAACCTCTCTCGAAGGAAACCTTCTTCGTCTACTTCTACGCCGAAAACCCAATTTTCAGAACCGACTCGAATTGTATACAGAGAATCAGGTCCTTCTCTATCTGGTCTTCCTTTCTGGCAGCGGACCTGGTTCATCGTTTTTCTCTTCCTCATGTCCATCTCCTTCTTCGCTCTCGCTCTCTTTCTCTTATTGGGCCTTGATTTCGAACAGGGCTCTCCTTCTCCCGCTTCGGCGGCCTCCGAAGGTGTTGAGGTGCCTCTTCCTATCAAAACTTTTTTTTTTTTTTTTTTTCTGAACTAAATGAATTTGATTGGAATCTCAAGTTTTCACTCTTTTTTTCGTTTTGGAAGATTACTTATGGCACGGTTCTGAAATTGATGCATGAGAGGACGAAATTTCGTTTGCATTCACACGAAGTGCCTTACGGTTCGGGCAGCGGCCAGCAGTCGGTTACTGGTTTTCCCAATGTCGATGATTCAAATAGCTACTGGGTAATTCTTTTTTTTTTCAAACAAAAAAATTCTTTCTTGTTTCCTTTTGTTTCATTTTTTAGAGGGGAAAGCGAAGTTTGAATTCTTATACAGAGCGGGCTTTGATTGCGTTTGATTTCTCTTTAGATTGTTAAGCCAATTCCGGGTTCATCTGCCAAACAAGGTGATAAAATTAAGAGTGGAACTATAATCCGGTTGCAGCATATGAGGACTCGAAAATGGTTGCATAGCCACCTGCATGCATCTCCAATTTCGGGCAACCTGGAGGTTGGTTAATTGGCATTTTCAAATTTACCTTTTTTTTTTTTTTCATTCGCTTGTCTGAAGATTTTGATTTTTGAACAGTATCTGTTGCTCCCATTTTTATTGATTTAAGCTGTTGTTGCAATGCTGCTTATTTCCATGAAATAGTTAACATGGAAAAATGAAAATGTGTAGTGGTGTTGGATCAATGCAGTTTGGGGATTTTAGGGTTATTAATCTTTACATAATGCGTTCATAGGATTGGTGTATGTGCATTATTTTCTTTTTTCTTTTCTTTCTCGACTTATACATTCAGGACTGCTGGCTATTTGAGGTTAAAAATTTGTTTTTCTTGCATTTCTGTTCTCAGGGAATTATACAACGAACTTGTTTCAAGTTTTATTAATGGCCATTGGATTTTAGATAAACAAAGTGATCTCTAGCCTGTCATAACCTATAACGGGCTCAACGAGATTATTAACATCATTGGTTCTTTTTTTATCAGTTAAGTGAATTTGTCATGGTTAAATGTTTTTATGTAAATTTTACAAGTGAGACTCATCTTTGCTTTACATTCTTATTTCTATGATTTAATATTTTCACTTTCTTATGAACTTAATTTGGTAAATCATTATTTTACCAAAAAAAATTGGTAAATAATTAGCTTTTAGATAAATGAATTTGACATTCTTGAAGCAATTCATGCCTTCCTTTTTGTAATGAAAGGCATATACTAACAAAAATATCATTTAATGGAGTTTGGACACATTGAGTGCATCTGGAAAATAGTATTTGCTACTAGGCCTAGATGTGGGGTAACTGTGATGTGCTCTGTTGTTATCAAATTCTTTGGCCTGATAATCATCACCTTAATTGTAGGAAAACTTACCAAGAAGAAAGTGATTGGATATCTTTTTGTCAATTTGTATTTGAAAATTGCTCGTGTAGCGGTGAAAGGGGATTGTGTTGCTTGAGCACTTGTATCATAGTTGTTAAGGTACTATGTTTAGGCTGGGTGATAGTGGAGTTCCTTGTCACCTGGGCAATTAGACCTTGGTGATGATTTTTTTTTTTTAATAAGGAATAATAAAAGTCTAGTTGATTTCAGTCTCTGTCCCTATTCTTGTATGAATTATCTTGTTTCTGTAGTTTGTGCAGTAACTAGAAAACATTAAAAATGAATTAACATGAAAGAACCAAACATCAAAATCGAACAAAAACAACATTTTGTAACCTATGAAAAACTAGGGGATGAACCTAGATAATTTAATGCAAAGGAGATAGAGAGACAATGTGTATGTAAGCCAAATGATGGGAGAATACAAACATATGAAGGGATGAAGCCATTTTTGTTTTGAATGCGATTAAGATATAGAATAGAGAATATGCAAGTGTCTTAATTATAGAGGGAATATGAAAAAGAAACATATGAAAGGAGGGGGCGCTTGTTATTTTGGATGCAATATACTTCTGGAGGAGATAATATGAAAGTGTGTTAATTGTAGAGAAAGGGAAAAAAATTGAAGGGCAGACCCTTATTCTAGTTAGAGTTAGAAAGATAGACAGAAATGATTACAACAGATTTAAAAAAGAACGAAAAGGCAAATCCCATTTTATGGTTGAAAACTGGTCTTTGCTTCTTTATGGTGGCCTTTTAAACTCCTTTATACAATATGATATGGTTTTGCTTCACCATACATAAAATCATTTCACCTCCCGTATGGAAATACCAAGGCAAGGTACAAGGAAATCCCAAGAAAATGCCTTATGCCTAGGTGGATGACTAGGCATTGTCTTGACAACTATTCCTTGTATTAACAGTTTCATGAGTTACTGGATTATCTTAACTGCAACCAACAAACTTCAGATAAAACAGTTTGTCTCATATTTCATCAATGTGGGTGTCCTCTAAATTCCACTGCCAAAAGTTGAGTTAGTAGTGAACAATGTTTTAAAACACGAAGGCATGATGTGAGGCGTAAGCCTCCTTAAGAGGAGGGGGATGAGGAGGAAGGAGAAGGAAGGAAAGGAGGAAGAAGATGGAGGATCTCATTTTTCTTTATTTTTATTAAAAATCTTTTATATTAAAAAAACGAAGATGCATAGCACTAGTTGAAAGGGGATCTCATGAATAATGGCATATTTGAAATCAAACTGATCCAGAATTTCTGCTTAACTTGTGACCCCATTGAATAATTACAAGAACATGCTTTATTATCTAAGCAGAGACAAATGGACTCTTTTTAGCAATATATTTCCAGGGATGGAACTGAGTCTGACTAAATTCGTTTTTCCCAGAATGCAAGTCAAGTAGGAAATTGCTGGAAAATGTGATAACAGATAGGCACACGAGATGACAATGCCGTTGAGGATCTGATATTAGAATTTAAAAGTTTAATAGCCTGTTTAAAACAGCTTAAGAGTGCTTTGTGCCACATCTGGTCCATGGCATGAGGTTTGCAGACTACGAGTCTGAATGTGCTTTACCTAGATTTTGGTCTTTATGGATACTGTGAGTTTGAAGCTATGATAGCCAGATATCTAAAAAACTGCTCAGTATATGTGTTGTCACATGATAGTACCCAATGCCTACACTTGATACTGCATTCTTTGAAATCCAAAGTTTGTTATCAAGGAAAGAAATCTGTTTGTCTTTTATTTTTAGCTTTAAGCTACCAACCTTATTTAATACGTACATCCCATTAAATATTTCAAGGTCATATCCCATCTGTACTTTCCACCACTGACCAGTGACCCTTTCACTCCAATCAAGTGTACTTTTTACCATTTCATGCACTTTATGTTACTTTGTGTTCCACATGTAGTCTCATTGAAATCGTCAGGGAATCACCACAACATGACCTGATGTTGTATCTGTGTTTTTATTGAAGTGGAAGGATCCCTTCCCCCTGAAAACAAATCCCAATCTCTAATTGAGGTTGTATTCAGGTTAGAGGTTTCCAATGTAACCAGAGATCATTTACTATGATCCCAAATCTTTTACTAGCCGTTCTTTTTGAAAATGGCCGATATCTGTCTCAGCAGCTTTTCTATTTATTTTATACATCATGATTATATGCATTTGTGGGTGAATTAATGTTATTCCATAATATTTAAGAAGAATTTAAAACCAAAAAAATGCTGGTAGAGGTTAGGATACCTACAGTATTAGAGTGTAAGGCATTACTATGATTCTTTGAATTGGATTTTTTTTCTTTTTTTGGACTTCTCTTTGTTTTTAAACCACTTCTAAGTACTATAGCATCCATATTGATCTTTACAGGAATGTTGGTAAAATATGTAGGTAAGCTGCTTTGGAGGGGATAATGAATCTGATACTGGTGATTACTGGAGGTAAGATTTTTAGCCAGTATCTGATAATATCTCAGATCTCTGTTGTTGATGACGATGGTTGATGTCCATTTTCTGGCATCATCATTTTAGACTTGAGATTGAGGGAAGTGGGAAAACATGGAAACAAGATCAAAGGATCAGGCTTCAACATGTGGACACCGGTGGCTACCTGCACAGTCACGACAAGAAATATTCTCGGATAGCTGGGGGTCAGCAGGAGGTGAAAATAAACTCAGACCCATATTTTTCTATTTTACATTATAGTTTCTATACCTTTACATTAATCCAATTCTTTGGCAACAATTACAGGTTTGTGGTGTCCGAGAAAAGCGTCCAGATAATGTTTGGTTGGCAGCAGAAGGAGTATACCTTCCGGTTACTGAAAGCAAATAGAACTAGTCACCCTGGTTTCATGTAACAGAACAAATAGAGATGGTGATCTTTCTTCCCTGGTGCTGGTACATGTCCTCTTCTCAACGTAAAAGCAAATATCTGAAGATTACGTCATCACTATGATAACTTGTTGATTCAATGATCGGCAAATCTCCAGTTTTCATCGTAGGGAACTGATGATAGCTATTCTTGTAGGGCTTAAGTCGTGAGTCGTGACCATCAAGTTCTCTGACTAGAATCTGACATATCTATTTGCCCAATATATAACATAAACAAGTTTGGCCTATATTCATGAATTGCAGAACTGTGAACTTTATAAACGGACTTGATCAGATGTGTCGTTCATCAGTTGAAACTTCTTTTCTTCTATTTTGGGCATCAGAGCAGCTGTAAATCTTGAACATTTCTGTGAACAATTGTGAGCCATTTGGTCAATTAACAAGATTACATAAGTTCTTACTTATCGGTGCTTGTATGAGCAGGGTTTTATTTCACATTTTAAGATATGTATTATGATATTTATAGATTGAAAAAAGGCTGTTCAAAAACGGAGTGTATGAGTGTAGCAGAAATTTGTACGATGGTTAATGGATGAGTGGAAAAACCAAGAAGGATAAGAAGATGAGAAATGAAAAATCATTAATACTTTTAACAGGAGGTAGGGGATACCAAATGATCAGGGATATCTGCAAAGTCATCTTTTTCAAACCTCAGATGTCCTTTTTTTCTTTATACAACGGAAATTACAGTAACCGAACCTAGAAAAGACTGCTTGATCTTCATGCAGTTGATCTCCTTCATGCATTCTTCTTTCATGGTGGCACAAACAAACAACCCCTAATAAATCATTTGTAAGAATAAATAAGGGGGAGCAAATCAATCCTTAGTCTTGTAGAATCATACCACTATCATTCATGTATAAAGAACAAGAAGCCATGTTGCATCCCAAAGAATATCATGCTGCAGTTACCAAGGAGGTTTAAACGTGTATACCTGTATCCATCGCGATAGTAGAAGCCTTTGCAGAATGAGTGATGAATCAATGGTAGGTCGATTGTGGTTTTTCTCAGTTAAATCTTCATTATTCCTTAGGTTTTCTCAGTTCTTGACTCTAATGGGGTAGAGCAAGAGGGCGGCTAGATGACTTAATATATTGGGAACCATAACTTAGGAGTCTTTATATTTTAACCTAATAGGATCCCATTAAGCCTATATGGGCCAAAATGTGGTATCCACTCATTAAGCCCCATACCCTTTTATTGAAGTCTACGGGCTTTGCCTAAATGAATCACTTGATTTAGTCCACTTACAAGATAGCCCATCAATGCAATTGTTTCACTGAATATGTAAGCCCACTTAACAGAGATTAAAACCTAACAATCTCCCACTTGGGCTATATATCAGAACTGAAACAATTATATTGAAAGAATTCCTTATGTGTACACTTCTTATGCTAATTTCTTTAGACTTCTCCTTAGTTTCAATCTGGTCCATCTCCTGTACTAATATGAGACCATGACGGCATTCGCCACATATATGCGTGACTAAACCTTTCATGCTCACCATATCAATGCATTCAATGACATAGATCAAGTATGAATGAGTGGCATGGAAATTACATGCAATGTGATATCAAAACATGCATATTTCCAACTGGTTCAATTTTATTCTTTAGAGAGATTAATCAAAGTCACAAACATATTCAGAGATGTAGTTGATGGAAAGAGTCATAAACTTTATTATGTGTAAATGTAGACATGCAAATACGCCTTAATCCATAGTACATTCAAGAGCAAAAGAAAAGAAAACTCCCACTAAATCAAGGTATCATAAAACATGTCTATACCCATACGAGCAGTGTGCACATGAAACACCTTAGGTGGCAATCCCTTGGTCAATGGATCCGCTATCATGGAGTTTGTCCCTATATGCTCTATGTAAATCTGACCACTTTGAACTATTTCCTTGACAGATAGAAACTTGATATCAATATGTTTCGACTTCAGAGAACTTCTGTTGTTGTTGGAATACAGAACTGCAGATTTATTGTCACACAATAACTTTAATGGTCTTTCAATGCCAATAACCACTCGCAGCCCCGTGACAAAGTTACGCAGCCATATCCCATGATTGGATGCCTCAAAGCAAGTTATGAACTCTGCTGCCATAGTTGAAGGGGCTATGAGCATTTGTTTGGCACTTTTCCAAGATATAGCTCCTCTAACTAACATGAAAACATAACCCGAAGTGGATCGTTTGCTATCTTGACATCCCGCAAAATCAGAATCAGAATACCCAATGATCTCCAAATTGTCTGATTTCTTGTAGATTAATATGAAGTCATTTGTTCTCTATAAATACCGCATGACCCGTTTGGCTGCTTTCCAATGATCCAGTCCTGGGTTACTCAAATATCTGCCCAACAGTTCCACTATAAATGCTATATCAGGACGGGTACAAACTTGAGCATACATTAGACTTCTTATAGCCAAGGCATAGGGAACCTTTTGCATCTCCTTTATTTCAAGGTCTGTTTTGGGGCACTGAATGAGACTGAACTTGTCTCCTTTAGCCATAAGCGTATCACCCGGTGAACAACTTTTCATGCCGAATCTGCTTAGCACCTTTTCGATATAGCCCTTTCGTGACAATCCAAGAACGCCTCGAGAGCGACCTTGTAGTATTTGTATGCCTAGCACAAAAGAGGTGTCTCCAAGATCTTTCATTTCAAAATTCTTAGTGAGAAATTTCTTGGTTTCGTGCAGCAAGCCTATATCGTTACTCGCCAGCAGTATGTCATCAACATATAGTACCAAGAAGATAAACCTGCTCCCACTGAACTTGTGGTATACACATTCATCAATCACATTTACCTCAAAACCATATGAGGTAATATCTTGATGAAATTTGTGATACCATCGATGAGAAGCCTGTTTGAGACCATAGATGGATTTCTTTAATTTGTAGACCATAAACTTTGAATCTTTGGATTCAAAGTTTTCTGGCTGAACCATATAAATCGTTTAATCAATGTCTCCGTTGAGAAACACTATCTTTACATCCATCTGATGTAGCTCTAAATCAAAATGAGCTACAAGTGCCATTATTATCCTAAAGGAGTCATTCGAAGAAACCGGAGAAAATGTCTCTTTATAATCAATGCCTTCCCTTTGAGTGAAACCTTTGGTGAGTAGACGAGCCTTATATCTTTTGACATTGCCTTTTGAATCCCTTTTGGTTTTAAATATCCATTTGCAACCAATGGGTTTCGAGCCTTCAGACAACTCGACAAGATCCCAAACGTCATTGTTTTTCATGGATTTCATCTCTTCTTGCATGGCATTGATCCAATGTTGAGAATTAAAATTTTGAAGGGCTTCGCGAAGGGTGATTGGATCATCTTCCGCTAAGCCTATCGAATCTTCTTGTTCTAGGAAGAACACGATATAGTCATCTGGAATCGCACTTCTCCTTTGTCTGTTGGATCTCCTCAATGGCACTTCTTGAGTTTGTTGAGTTTGCTCAATGGAAGGAACTTCATTATTGTCTTGAATCGGAATCGCTTCATGAACAGTGTCAGGAATCGTTGTCTAATCACTGGCGATAATAATATCAGGAAGAGAAATGAATTTCTCTTCTTGCAAGACAACTATTTCGTCAAAAGAGATGTTCCTTAATTCTTCCCCTCCAAACTCAACATCTTCAAGAAATCTCGCATTTCCCGTCTCAAAGAAGGAGCGGGTAGTGGGATCATAGAACTTGAACCCTCGAGAACATTCCGCGTATCTAACAAAGTAACAACTAATTGTCCTAGAGTCCAATTTCCTTTCGTTGGGCCTATAAGGCCTCGCTTCAGTTGGACATCCCCAAATGTGTTGGTGCCTTATGTTGGGCTTTTTCCCAGTCCACAACTCATACGGGGTTTTAGTTACTGCTTTGCTGGGTACTCTATTAAGGATATACACTGCAATTTTTAATTATTCTCCCCAAAATGATTCAGGTAAAGAAGAATGACTAATCATGCTCCTCACCATGTCCTTAAGTGTCCTGTTTCGTCTTTCAGCAACACTATTCATGCTGGGTGTACCCGACATGGTGTACTGTGGGACGATACCACATTCCTTTAGGAAGTTAGCAAAGGGTCCTGGACGTTGCTCTCCTGATCCATCATATCTGCCATAGTATTCCTCGCCACGGTCAGATTTGACGGCTTTAATTTTCTTACCAAGTTGAAGTTCAACTTCAGCTTTATAAGACTTGAAAACGTCCAGGAATTGAGATTTCTCACTTATTAAGTATAGGTACCCATACTGTGAATAGTTGTCTATGAACGTGATGAAGTACTGCTGGCCATTCCATGCAGGAGTAGGGAATGGCCCACAGATGTCCGTATGTATCAGTTCTAAGACTTCTGTACATCTATTGGCACCTATTTTTTTGTGTTCGTCAATTTTCCCTTAATACACTCAATACAGATTTGGAAGTCCGTTAAATCAAGGGAATCAAGAATTACGTCCAACACAAGCCTCTGAATTCTCTATTTAGAGATGTGGCCTAAGCGCGTATGCCATAAGGAAGCAGAATTCTCGGTTAATTTACGCTTTGCACCTTTAGTACTTGCATTCAGGACTGCATTGTGGGAAGCAATAGTTTCTAACATATAAAGACGATCAATTAAAATACCGGTACCAATAATATTTGAATTTAGAGAAATACTGACTTTATTATTTCCAAAACCACAAAAGTAACCAGATTTGTCTAAATATGAAATAAAAATTAAGTTCCGTTTAAATGGCGGAGCTACAAATGTCTCAACTAAATTCAAATAACAACCATTTTTTAAAATCAATTTAAAATGTCCTACAGCTTCCACAGGAACTTTATTGCCATCGCCTATATAGATGAATCTTTCAGCATCAGTTGGCGTCGGCTCTAGATGCAACCCTGCATAGACACACTTATGTGAGTAGTAGCGCCAGAATCTATCCACCAAGTGTCTATAGGTACAGAAGCTAAATTAGCCTCAGAACAAACTAAAGTGAGAGACATACCCTTCTTTATGCGCCATGCGGCGTATTTGGGACACTCTTTCTTCATGTGTCATTCTTTCTTGTTGAAAAAAACTGGTAAATCCATCACCTTGTTTCTTCGCCTTTTTCTGCGTGGGTATTCCATTTGCAGTATCCTTAGTCATCTTCTTTTTATTATTTTGAGAGGTTGATGCTAAGTGAGCACTTTCCGTCTTTTCTCTCTGGATYCTTTCTTCTTCTTKMACACATTGAGAAATGAGCTCATTAAGAGTCCATTTCTCCTTTTGAGTATTATAACTCACCTTAAATTGACTGAATTGTRYARRWAGAGAAATRAGAACTAAATGCWYRAGYAAATCATCATTTATCTCTAACTTTAGTGCCTTTAGTTTACCGGCAAGATTCGACATTTCCAGTATGTACTCCCTTATAT